CAGAGCCATTCCTTAGCTCATTCAAGAACACACATAAGTGTGCTGCTGCTCAAGATAGGTAGGTGTCATGCCTTTCTCTTCAGGAAACACATCAGTTTCCCTCTCCGCACTCTACACCGTCGACCGTGAACTTCCACAGTGATGCCCATGTCCTGATGACCACCATACCTGAGCATAGCCGGTGGATCCATGGCTGCTGACAGCTGGATATCTCCGGCTTCCCTCTGCAATTTACTGACTTGAACAGCAGAGCCCCCATCATTGGTCCCAGGCTGAATCAGCAACAGAGTTTTTCAGTCGAGGCCCTCAACCTTCTTGAGGAAACCTTTCCTCTTTCTGCCCCTCTTATAATGCAAGCCAGCCTGATTATTCTTCTTGATGGTCAGGTTCGAGATACCTGTTTTAGCCTCACCCTCAGCCAGACCCTTCACCAGAGCTCCTAAGAGATTTTGCCACTTCTCTGCATGAGGAGAGGATAACCATGTTTACAAATTTGAGAACCCTGATAGGTTGTTATAATGGCATGCATTATTATGTTTTGCAGAAGTCCAGCTCGAGTTCCAGAGATTCCGATCCCTATCGAACTTAGAGCCCCGGCTTGCAAGAGCTTTGAAAGAACTGAGAGTCGTGGAGGAGGCAACTTGCCTGTTAGAACTTGCTTCTGATGATCCAGAAGGGATTGAAGGACAACTTAAGCGTTGCACGGTATGAAAACAGAAAATTGTGATACAGAGCACAATCATGAGCTGATCTATATTATTATGGACATAATTATCCAGGACACTTAGTTTACATACATCAGTGTGTTTGTTGAAATTCATAGAGAAGCGAGGGGGACATTAATTCAAGTACCGTAATAATTCAGAGCAAGAAGATGGCTGACCGTCGGAGATGTTGCGAATGTGTAGTCTGGTAGATATTGACCAGTGTTTCAGAGGAGCATGCTGCCTTCATTATCATACTTATTACACTGATGATGAAGGTAGCAAACTCATGTACGTATTGCGAGAACATAGAATCTCAACTCAGAGCAGTTTCCTTTCTTGTGATGAAAACTGCGGATAAGAACAGGCACATTAGTGCTGTTCCATATCCTCATTGAGTTCTTTTTAACGTTTTGTGACTCGCTAATTTTTATAGTGAGATGTGGTTTGCGCCCCATCTCACTTTATTTCATTCATAGCAATAATTTGAGCTGCTTAATGCTAGACGAAGTTAGTACCACGACGTGTTGAAACAACAGAAGACTCGATTACTATCTCATCTTCTGATGCAATTGTACGCAGGCCACCACCATGTAAGATTAAATATTAAGATAAATTTAAAAGATACCTGAAAAAGTATAAACAATATTAATACGAGTATGTACACCCCCATTTGATTCATTCAGAATTTAAGGTGCGTACTTAAAAAAGTTTACCACACATATTATAATAGTTTCACTATGTTTTAATATAATTTGTAATATACAGCTGACTTTCAAAATGCTATGAAGTTGACTCAGCACAAATATGTTTCCAGTATATTTTTTAAACAGATTATTTTGAACCCAGATATAGTATAATGATTTTTTATTTATAGTTACAGATGTAATTATCAGACGTAATTTTTACTCAAGGGAGATTTAAGAGTATTTCCTTTGCTTCATCATAAAGCAGCATTTCGTAAAAAGAAGTTTCTACGGACACAAGCAAAGCTTTAAAAATGCCAGCCCAGTTTTTAAAAAATTTGAACATGTTTCATAATTATCACAGATACTTTGAAATGTAATCTGAGGACAGGAATGTTGGGTTGAATTCCCCTTGTATCGTCACAGATAAAAACGTGAAAATTTTTAAAGCACTGTTAAATACTGCAATTTGTATTT